AAGTAGGGCCTAGTGGGCTTAGTGGCCCAGCTTGTGTAGGGCCTTAATAAGAGGCCCTAAAGCTATTTTGTATGCTCCATCCTCCTTTCCTTTTATTAAAAAAAAAAAATTTGATTTTTAGTCAAATCAAACAAATATGGAATTTTTTTTTTTTTTGGCTCTTTCAATAATATCCTAATCAGTTTGATTTTAATAATATGTTTAGGATTTTATATACTTGTAATCAAACAAAATCTCGACCACTTTAACTTTTTCAATTGAATAGGCCGCTCGAATCGAATCTAATTATTATAGCATTGAATTTCACAAATGCTCTATTATTCCATTGGTTAATACCAATGCAACTACCAGCCTATTCTTGTCATTTCATTTCCTCCCAATCTAGAAAAGAGAAAACATTGAAACAGAATTTTTTTGGAATATTCTCACAAAGTACAATTTATACTATAAAACGATAAAGAAAGGTCATGATATTGGTGTCTATCTAAATGTTCAGTATTACATATCAAGCGTGTGTGAAGACAAGTATTTTCACTAAAATTTATAATCTGTTATCGTATAGTAGTACGTAGATATTACCAAAAAAATTACTCTAACATGAAAATCGAAAATGAGAAAAAAAAAAAGAAAGGAAAAAAAGAAAGAGAGGCAAAAAATTAAGTAATGGTAACAAGAGTCTAAGTGTCGACACTCGTGGTATTAATTCAATTCATTGCTTCAATTAGAAGTTAGAATTCACGATATATTTAATAGGACATATCATCTCCTGTCAATTAGATCGTTTTTAAATAATATTAATGCTAGATAACGTTATTCAAAAAAAAAAAAAAATGCAAATAGGGATAAGAACAATATATTCAGTAATTAAAACTTCAGTCGTCCCAACCTCTTTCCTCACTCTTTCAACATCACTTTATACATACTAGAAACATAGACATTTTATCAATAAAATAATTTTGTACGTGTACTCATAATTTTTAACCACATATTTTCTTTTAAATTTTTTTTTTACTTCAAATAATTTATCCAATACAAACTTTAGGACCCGTTTGATTTTCATTATTGTAAAATGAGAATGAAAAATATAGTCGTTATTCGGCTCCAAACAAGAGATAGAAATTCAAAATTGATAACTTGAGGTGATAGATAGCGATCATATTTTTCATTTTTATAGAAAAAAAATGAGAAACAAATGGAGGCTTAATCTTGACTTCCCGTTATGCCCAATGCAAAACGTGGCTCTCTCTTCTCTATTTCTTATTGCTAAACAAAAAACAAATAAATTCATTTTCTAAGTCATTTTCCATAAATACCCTTCACATTACACTATTATTTCAGTTTAATCCCCAATTTCTTTGACTGCCTCTGGCCATTTTCTCT